ATATTATGAATTCTTTTCACAGCAACGGCATAACCGCAATACTTCCCTTCCACAACTTCTCCCCAGGCACCACGCCCAAGAATTTTCTCTGTTAGTTGAATTTGATTGCGGGGAATCACCCAGTCAGGTAAATTTTGTGCCTGATTTTCCGCACGTAAAACCCGCTGAGCTGCTGCAAGCGTTCTTTCAAGTTCATGTTTTTCCTGGTCTTTCGTTATCAGCTGTCTCTCCAAGGTAACAACTTGAGCCCGATGTACCCGTAATACTGATCGAGCTGCTGACAGACTTCTTTCAATTTTAATCCTTTCTCGATCTTTTGTTTTCAGCTGTTCTTCTAGGTTACCGACCTGTTGCACCTTTCTGTTCAGTTGCTCTTGCATACTGTTCTTCAGCAACTCTTTCTCTCGTAATTGACCTTGTAAGTTTGTCAGCTTCTGGTGTTGTTGTTCTTTTTCCCTCAAAAGGTTGGCCTGTTCTAATTCTTTTTCCTTCAGTTGTCCTTGACAATGCGCCAACTGCTCTTCCACTGCTCGCAGTCTTATTAGGTATAAATTCTCTTCTTGTCTAATTTCCTCTTCCATAGGTTGGTTTGTCGTGTTACAGAGAGTTTGCAAGCTTAAATTTTGCCTTTCCTTTGCTTGTAACTGTTTTTCTTTTCCTCTGGGTTGTCCCTGTAAGTTAGTTGGACGAGTTTCCATTTCCTGTAGTTCTGTCTGTTTTGCTAACAGAAGGAAGAAAAAAATCATTTTTTTTTTAGAATAGGAAATGTACTGAATTCATTGTGGCTCATCCACAAAAAATTCAAACTGGGACGTCCGACTTACGAGCGAATGTTACCAGTGGTCACACATTTTAAAGTGGCAACAGCTGAAAAATCAATTTCGCCCATATTCCAGAGTTGGGTAGGTCTCAATGAGAAATAAATCACTGCATACTTCGTTTAGCTGAATATCGATTTAGTTTCGAGAAAATCGATAATGACTGAATTCCGCCAAAATGCAGCTTTTAAAGCTCAAAATTTTGTCGACGAATCTCGGAGCGTCGCACCACGAATTGAAAACACTTGGACCGATGAAAAGTACTAAATCTTGAAAAACAACATCAAAACATATGTTGACAGCAATTTGAGCAATTGTTGATTGTTTTGTATACACAATCTATTCGAATTTATCCGACCATCTTCTAGCTAGATTAAAAATAGGTAAAAAGTAACCCGTTATTTAACTATTCACTAAACAAAATAATCGACTGAAAATCTGGAATTTGGAAGGCAAAGTGTAGTTCTTTTCGATCTCCGAAGAATTTTGTGGGGAAATGACTCAGTGCGATTTAATCAAATTTTTAAGTTGGATAAAATGCGTTGATTTGACAATGCCATCAGTTATGGTAATGGTAATGGTAATGGTTTATTAGATATGAATCCGGCACTAAAATGAAATACTTCATATTTACAAGAAATTACAAAAAATATTTACAAATTAAATGAGACTGTATAAATAATAATTTTGCCGGGGGACTGGGTTACCGGCTCACAAGATTCTATTAACAAATTATTACAAATGTGATATAAGTCTATTGCGATAATTCATTAAGCTTTGACGTCATTGCGGGAAAAAACTTATTTGAAATCGTTTTGTGCTACATTTAAAAAGAGTCAAGTTTTTGCTGAAGCGCAGCTGACGGCCGTGTGCGTCTAGTCTTTTCTGTGGAATTAATGATGACAACTGTGAGTTTTTAATTTTCTTGAACTGTTCGAGGCAAAGACGTTCCCTATTTTCTTCCAGTGTGGGGTAATTCAAAACATTACATGCAGTTCTGTAAGAAATTAGTGGTTCGATTATCCTGAAAGCTCTTCTTTGTATCTGTTCTAAATTGTCCACAAGGTAAGATGGAAGGCTAGAATGCCATACCGGGCATGCGTACTCCAAAACAGAACGTATTAGAGCAGTATAGACACTAAGTAAATCCTTGGGTGGAAGGCCATTGCGGCGCAGGACACGAAGGATATAAAGTCGCTGAGCAGCTTTCTTTGTAATGCTAAGAATGTGACTACGCCATTTTAGATCATCCTGAATGAGCACTCCTAGGAGCTTGTGACTTTC